AGGTTACAACTCAAGGAGCAGGTGAATACAAAAAGGTAGCGTTTGATTTAAACCATATGTACAAAGCATTACTCTCAAGCAATACAAAAACATTGATATACCTCTCATATACCTTCATGTGAGAAGACATGCTTTTAGCTATTACTTAATTGTATCTGTGGTCCTTGGGCAGGCTATCAGAATTTATCAGAATAACCATAATCGATTCTTAACCCTCACCTTTGCCTCCCCAACCCACCATTTATTTACAGAACACAAATACCCTCACACACAACTGCCATCTTTCACACACACACACACACACACACACACACAGAGAGAGAGCAAGAGTGAGAGAGACACACACATCATCATCTTTACAATGTGCTAAATCAAACACCGCATACAAAGGAACATGTGGCATGCTTTTATAGAGTGGCTCTTTTCTTTCTGCTACTCAGCATAGGTGTGTATGGTGTGAGTTGTTTGAAGTTGTGGAAAATAAGGTACGCAAGTGAATTTTAAACACAAAACAGAAAGCTTAAACAGGAGCTTTCTGAGAGTAAAATAAGGTAAAACAATTGTAAATTTTACAACTTTTACATTCTCACATACAGAAGAATGGCTTTTTCTAAGAATTTGCTTTTTATAATGTTTAAAAAGCAACCAGCACGACAATAATGTGTTGATATTACATTTATATAGTGCCTTTTCAAAGTATACACTAAAAAAACAGTTTAGTATCCACTAAAATACTTGTTGACTTGAACACAATTTCCAAGGTCACTGGATACTTTCTCAGTGCAGTGATGCTGACTGTTTAACACAAACAACACTGCCCTCTACTGCTGCACACAGGAATTGACATAACGGCTAAATAATCGTATTATTAAATATTTCTTTTCTTCCTTTTTGAATATATGAAACTGTTTCATGGGATTTTTACTGTTTTGCTGGAACGTCAACCCAATTAATCTGATATGCACAGGAAGATTTTTTTTCAAGCGTAAGTAAATGGAATTGCTAGTTTGTTTGGACGCAATTCGAATTTTCCTACTTTTGTGGGTAGAAATGAATAAGTTGCACTGAGATGATCGAAATATGGCGCGACATTCAAAATCCTAAATTGCAGTAGGATTTTCAAACCCATTCTAGTCCATAAATGCATATGCGTGACCACGGGCTGAGACCCCCTTTTAGCACCGATTCAGGGACAAGATGTTATCTTCCAGACTTATCACGTCCTCCTTCTTACAACTCGGCAGATGTTCCTACTTATGGAATAAATAAGCCATTCAAATACTAACTACATACAGTGGTGATGATTTTATCTACGACAAATAAGAACAAACGATGCAGTTATGGGTGCTAAAGGGCAGCACGCACAAAAAGCTTTTCTAGAGCATGTTTTAGTCATGCAGGAGTTTCTTTTTCACACAGCGTTTAAATCCAAATGAAGTGTCAGATCCACTGTGAAGGTGCGTTCTACGGCGTGCGTAAGTGTAAACGCCGCAGAAACGCATCCAAATCCATTATATGTAAAATTAACATCGCTGTATTAAAATAACCTGTTTATTTACATAATTGTCAACCACATCAATGCTATTAAAACAGGAATAGCATTATCAGTCAGTGTTGCATCTCTAATTCATTACATCTGGGTTGGAGGTGTTAATCAACTGCTGGTTTAGTATTTTCACACAGCACAGAAAATGTCATTTATTTAGATGTTAATCTGTAGCCGCTAAGCACAAAGGGGCTGGAGATGGAGGTATGGAAGATGAGTGTTTTTCATTCATTTTAAACCATTAATTATTATATATGTTATACATGTTATGTACCACAATTTCCATTTGGCATTATTATTATTATTACTATTATTATTGTTGTTGTTGACAAAGCTCAGTAGAAATAACCCAGCAGAAAAGCTCAGAAGAATGGGAAAATGAATACAGTTACAGTGGAGTAAATATGTGCATGTGTTCTGTCCAATATATACGCAGGTTGGGTTGTTTTTTTGAGGGGCACCATCCTGTTCACACTCCCAGCGCATACAGTATTGAAGCATGGACATAAGAGAAGCCTTTAGCGTCCCTGCATGCATGCACCTATGGCTTCACTACACTGATGTGCTCGGTAATCCCGCGGTTACCAATGAAAGCCCGTTTGCTTCGGCTCTTGCAAAAAAAGTAAACGCATTTACTGACTTTGAGGATGAACCATGCGCTTCAAAGTTCTGATGCAAAAAAGATTTCTTAGTAGTAAGATGCTGATAAAAAAATATATATATACAATAGCGATTGTACCAGAAGTCACAAAGTTTTTCTGTCAATTTCTGATATCAGGAGCGCTTCTGCTACCTGATCTGCATCTCCTGCCCAAGTTAAACCATGCATACTGGGCAGGGAACTTGGATCGGGTAACCATGTCCTCCTCATTTTGTATCCATGTCTAAAATATTTCTGTTAACAGGGTAAAAAACATTTCCCATTTTCCACACATTTTCAAGATGTGGAAGTGTACACTTTCAGCTTTAATGAAAATGGATTGAAAATGGAGGGAAAAAATGGCTGTAATTCCTAAACAGTTAACGCAATATTTTTGTTAAACTCCTTGAAATAAAGCTGTTTGACTCTGTCGTGTTCTCAAAATATTCCTGAACAATTTTTGCAATGTGGCATAATACAAGTGCCACTTGAAGTCAGTGTGACAGAATAAGTGAAGAAAATGTATCCATGATGTAAAACATTCCTAAAGAGCTCCACAACTCCTTTTTATAACAATTTAACAAATCTACCATGTGACTTGCAACCCCAATTGGGTCTGTGCCTGATACCAAAAGACTGGAGACCACCCACTTTGATTACTAACCTGGAAATAATATTCTATACTAAGTAAGAGCTAGAGGAAACATTCTCTTTATCAGGTAATCTTACGGAAGGAAACTTCCGACAAGAAAGCAAAATTTTGAAAGTTTATACCCTTCAATCTTAAAGGTTCGTATTGCAAGGTTTGCGTTTGTTGTAACAGGCAAGACATTTTTGTGCACGTGCGGAGATCTGAATTAACCATTAACGCGTGCTTTGTACAGATCGGACAGCATCTTTGCTACCTGACCGCGTCCCCTCTCAAATTCACACCACGCATGTGTGCCGCAAATTAGACAGGAGACGCAGCTCAAGTAATTGTGTCATCCTACCACATGACTTGCACGCCTGATTGTGTGTGCAGAGAAGAGAAGTTTAAGCTTGTGAAACCATCAGGAATTGAATGAAAAACTGTGTGTGAATCCCGATACACTTGGTGGTGGAAAAAAGGAACGGTTTTATCAGTATCAATAAAGCATGAAAATAAACACATTTGACAATAAGAGGGTCAGAGAATATAACTGAGCTATAGGAGACCGTTGTAGATACAGTAAATTTCCCCAAAACTCAAGGAAGTTTTTAATCGGCCAACATGATCACGGACCAAAAATAAATTAATGACGAGACATCCACAAACAAGTAATAAACCATTGCTTACTAATAAATAAATAAATAATATAAACAATAAATAAATATTATGAGCCTTTGCCGATTGGTCTGGCACTAAAGAAGTACTTGAATAGAAAATTACAAAAGTGCTGTTCTTTATTATGTACGGCGCTTGTTCCTTCGTCCACCTCTGAAGTGCAAAGTTCATCCGCAAAGTCAGTAAACGATCATGTCAGTGTATTGAACCCAAAGGCGCACTTCTGTGTGCCCGCAGATCAGATAATCTCAACTCACATGTCGCTTGCCACACTATGTCACTTTCCACTGTTGCTGAAATCGCAGCTCTGCATAAAATGTATGGTCACCTGTTGCTCACTAGTTTGAACACGGGGTACTTACTTCCCACAAGGAATGTCCACATCAAAAGGTTGGAAACAACCAGCTCAGTGCGAGCAGTACTGAAGTAGCTTAAATATGTAGTTCAAGACCCAAGTTCCTCTGTAAAATGGTAATTCAGCTCCATGAAAGCCATCATTTTACTGTAATGAGAACTGCATTAAGTCCTAACAGGAGGAATGGAGAAAAAAGATGGCAAGGATAAAGATGGCAAGTTGGAATTATTGATGATCAGCTGGCAATGGCACTTCATTTCACAGACACATGAAAGATTCTGTTTTTCAGGTCAGTGTCAGACAGCAACTCATTAAGAGCCAGTAAACTCGTGTCAACTGCGCTCTAACTAGCAAGAAATACATAACATGATGCGTTACAAATGCAGAAAGGAACACTTTGGGCCCTCTATGCATTCCGAGAACACCTAAGGATTTCTGGAAACAAAAACTACAGACATTTTATACAACCAGCATAGTTCTATCTAATGATACTGTACTACTCTTTCAAGGGTAGAACTTCGGCGTCTTATAGTTTTATCCCTTGATTAAGGGACAGAGATTTCAACCTCCTGAACCATGGACCAATGGGTGCTGGGAGGAGGACAAAGTTAGGTTTGTCTTCAGACCAATTAAATCCCTTTGTCCCACTTCTAATTCTGCACAAACTGCAGTCTTCAAGGGTTGACTTGTGGCTGTTTCAACTCCTGTATTGTTCAGGAGTTCAGCATCCCTTTGAAAGGGGGTGCTGATGTCACTTAAGGTACTGCTTCCTCCTTGGAGTAATATCATGATCTGGTAGAGTTACAGTAACAAGCCAGCGCTGCTGAAATAGCCTTTGAATCACATGAAAGGTGAACCTTGTGCTGATATCTCGAACAAGATTGTGCTCTCCAATGTTTTTGTTTTGCAACACAGTCATGGGTAAACGTGGCACGCAGAGACGTGCTAGCATGCAGTCCTCCGACAAGCTAACTATGCATTGTGCGTCTCTTCGGTGCTGTGTGTCAGGTAACTGCTGATTGGTTAACTGGGAGGCGTGCCTGATTTCGTACGCAGAAACGGTTTGATGAGACGTTGTGATATTTCTTCAGTGGGCTTGATTAAATTCAGATTATAACTGTTTAATTCAGAGTAATACTGTTCAAAGGGTGGTTTCCTGGTGGGTTAGTGGCTAGCATGCGGCACTCTTATCGCTGTGGCCCGGGTTTGATCCCCGGTCAGGGAACCAACCCCAGCCACTGGAGGGTTGCACGAGCCAGTGCACTCTCAGTGCCGGTCCCAAGCCTGGAAAATGGGGAGGGTTGTGTCATGAAGGGCATCCGACGTAAAACTTGTGCCAAAAATCTAAATATGCGTACGGGTGACCTGCTGCAGCAACCCTGAACGGGAGCAGTCGAAATGGGGAGGGGGGGAGGGGTGTTCTGTCAAAGTGGAAGCAATAAAAATCGAAACAAAGTGTAAACAATAAAAAATTTTCCCTCATCACATCCAGTACTTCTACAGACAAGCTCGTGCTCTGAAACGGCTTTCTGATATTGTGGATTAAACACTAGTTAAATCAAAGTGCTTTGAGACAAAAGCTGCTCATATTGCTGAATACAGATGGGTTAAAACACTTCAGAAATGCTTTCAGTGAGAATTCATTTGGTTTATAATTAATCACATGGGTTTTTTTTTTCCACAGCACTTTTCAAAATAAATGATATCCGTGTTATCTTCTATCTCCGTTTATTATTCCTACAGTACAACACAGAACTCGCATTGGGTTTTTTTCAGCTTTTTTTCCCGCTGTATAAATAAGTAAATTCTGGGGTGGTTCATGTGACAGCGCCACCTAGAGGACACACTCACGTTATATAAAGTATAAATACTTCAGCCTGTGCGAGCATCCGTGGGCAATGTCCTGACTTGCACGCAGAGTTGCATACGTAGAAGTATATATCGGCCTTGAGCTTCAGAAAGCCAGTGTCCATTAAAACAGAAATTAAATCTATCACACTGAAGCAGTGGCAGAGGGAGGATGCACTGTTATGCCTGTGGATTTGCTATCAATGAAGACAAAATGGAGATAATTAGGAATGGCCAATCAACACCACTGTTAGCACTGACTCCTCATTTGTTTTATAGAGTTACAGGAGCCTGATCACTTATTACAGGTTTAAACTATCCCGAATAACAATGAGAATCAGTCATCTGATTAAGTCGACAACAACAAAAAAAAAGAGATGGGAACTTGAAGGTTCTCTCTTACATACTGGCTGAAAGGGGTATAAAAGGCTTCTGACAAAGGGTTTTAAATTTTCACAATGATGATAAAACAAAAACTCTCCATGACAAAACTCAAATGATTCTCACTGCTCTGGGAAATGTCATGGAAGCAAACTAATGCTGTTGGAATGCACTAAAAACCTAAGTTAAACGAACTTAAACAAATGAACAGAAGATCATATTATGAAAGTATTTTTTTCCCCTTTTGATTTTTATGGGTTCTTAAGATATTACACTTATATGTTTATGCAGGAACCAAAAATTGACGTAACTGGAACACTTGTTACTCAACTAGTGGCTAATAGGAAAAGCACAATACTGGTGCAAAAAATGCTTTTGCACAGATCACATCCATATCACCTACCTTCACATCCTTTCATATGCGTCATCAGGCAGTGATTGATGGGACCATTTGTACAATTGCTTATTTCTAATAAGACATGGGCATTTTTTACAGCTGTACAGCAAAGTGATTATCACTGTGTCTCCCTATGGCCTATGATGGAGAGTCTCAGCTTAAGGTCGTCTCCTGTTCAAGTCTTATTTTATAATCCAATTAAACACAGCTCTCATCTAAAAACCAGGGGAGAGGACTGCGTGTATGTATCGTCATGTGTGTTTATTAGTACGAAATATCCACTCTCCAAAGTTAGTCTCTATTGGGGTGGCCGCTATAAATAGGGGAGCAGGGCTATGTACCATTTTCCAGGAGATTTTGCTGTCTGTATATAAACAAACACCCTTTATGGGTTCATTGTATCTTCATTCCTACTGCACTGATTGTGGAGCCCTTAATCAAAACCCAAAATAAATCATAAGCGTGTTATGACTAATACTTACAGTACAGGTGTAATGGTTTTTCAAAAGATTTCAAAGAGAAAAATCAAATGAGACTGTCCAAAGCAGTGAGGAAGGTAAGCCAGATTACGGATGATGTTGTACTCTACACAGACTACAGCTGCTTCATTTCAGTACCTGTGCATGTTATTTTCTCCAGATGGCACCGCGCCCAAGTTGGCCACATTCATGACCTTGTCGCTGATCAAGGTGTTTTTGGATGACATGATGACTGTGGCTGAGCTTTCATTCATTCCCTGCAGCTTTCCTGTAGCAGTCAAAAAAGAAAATGCTTTTTATTGGTTTTGGTTGTGAAGTTTCAGGGGAAAAAACACATTTACAAATTCTAATTTCTATAATTTTATGACATTTTAGGTGAAGTTGCATTAAAAAAAAATCTTGAGTCTATTGCCAAAAACTATTATTAATTCATATCTCAATGCATCATCTAACATATTACTCATTTGATACTTGATAACTATAAAATATTAAACACCACTGTTGCATTTCATGTTTTTATAAATTCTTGAACAAAACTGTAGAAATCAGACTAGGGTACTAACAAATTACTTAAAAGCATTTTACTGCACTGTTGTATGCAGAAAAACAGTCCAAGGTATATACATTGTTCATTGCTGGAAAAACAGCTGGTTAAATAGCCTTATTTAACTGGTTAATTACATTTTTTAAATGTTTCACTAAAGATGCAAGAGGTTTGTCAAAACAATGAGAAATATTCATGATAGTTCACCAGCCACTGTAGACAATAGCTCTGTTGTTTTTGCCAAGCAGGCCGGCCTGGAAGAGGTGACTAACTGTTGAAATATATGTGTGTGGGGAGATTCTTGGGGAAAAAGTGACCAGCGTACTACGAATTTCCATACACTAGGGACATACCTAGAATGTGCACACCATTGAAAAGTACATTATAGTATTTGATTTTTAACCTAGTATGTAACTTGTTTTTGCATGGTCATTTTTAGCTGTTCCTGGAAAAGTTTTTATATATATATATCTTTATCAGATACTCTACATACAGTTTAAGAGAACAAAGCTAGCCTACAATAGCCATTAGCCTACATTAGCTACTACATGCTGTCATGCTGTATTAATATAATTTACACAGAAGTTGACTCTGGCTTCCATTTTTCAGATTCCTGACCTTGAAAGCAACAGCAACCAAGTGTAGGATGGTCTGAGAGCATTCAATACTTTAGAAAACATTAATATATTGTTAATGCCATTATATTTTGAACAGTGCTCGCTGGATCTTATATACTTTAAACTAACAGCTACATGCAGATTATTAACTTTGAGAGGGCCTGACCCTAACATTAACCTTAGTACTCAAAAGCAAAAACCCTTTCAGTTTTTGCCAAATAAAAGCTGCATTTTTATTCTTTATTTAAAAAATATATATATTTTGTGAGGACCAAGTGATTATGAAGGTAGTGTCAGTCACAATCATTATAGAAGAGAACTCACTCCACCCCACTGTATGTGCTTGAGTGTGTGTGTGTGTGTGTGTGTGTGTGTGTGTGTGTGTGTGTGTGTGTGTGTGTGTGTGTGTGTGTGTGTGTGTGTGTGTGTGAGAGAGAGAGAGAGAGAGAGAGAGAGAGAGAGAGAGAGAGAGAGAGAGAGAGACAGAGAGAGCACGAGTGCATCAGTGAGGTGGAAGGTGTTTCTTTACATTAAAGTCTGATTTATTCAAACCACACAAAGCATTTGTTGGTGTGATGCTGAATCCTGGACACAGGCATTAATTTAAGTATTAACTTAAGAATGCTCTGAGAGCTGCATACTGAGCCATGCTAAATGCTTATGTAGCTTTTGCATCTGTCAGGGCTTGAGAAAGGCACTACATAAATAAACCATTATTAGTGGGCCAAGCACCGAAGGTACATAGGCACCCTATTGTTATTCTATCTTTTCTTCTTCTTCTGGCTAGGGTGTCTATGGCAGTCCATAAAATTGTCTGGGGAAAAAGCTGGCACACTGATTGGGGATTCCCTGGATTCCCTGGGTTGAAACGAGCGCAACGCATCCTATGGCACAATTTCTGCCTAGTTAGTTTTACCAAAAACTGTTTTTTTCGATACTCCTCCTACAAATTTTGTCCAATCACCAAATTGTGTATGTCATCTTCAGAGTAAGCCTCACAAAAGGTATCGAAAGAATTTTGATTACTAGGATAAGATTTTTAGGTCAAAGCAGTAGCAATCACAACCAAATCTCAAAGCAGACACCTCCACAGGTCACAGCAGTAGTGGCAGCTGCAGCAGCAATGCCGCCCTGCTGCCCATTTGTTCATCTAAACCTTTCCTCCTACAGTCAGAGAATTCCATCACTGTCTGTGGTCAGAACATACACATGAGTGAAACTACAAATCACTCTTGAATCCCTTTGCCTAAAGTTATGGCTCTGCTTTTCTGCGATTGCTTAGGCGACAACTGTAGCGCACCTGTGAATGTGCGGCTCACCGAGTCTGGGTGCTTGGCCCCCAAAAATGCTGCTTGCAGTTTTAATTATTAGTATCATTATTATTTTAAAAAAGTCTTCAGTTGCTTTCGAAGTATGCTTCATGTCATTGTCTATCTGCACTGTGAAGCACTATCCAAGGAGTTTTGAAGCATTTGGCTGAATCTGAGCAGATCCCTATACACTTCAGAATTTATCATGCTGCTTTTATTAGCAGTCACATCATCATTAAATACAAGGGAACCAGTTACACTGGCAGCCAAACATGTCCACTTCCCTTCCAATCATTTTAACACAAGTTGATCTTTATCTCATCTGCCTATATAAATGTTACAGAACTGTACAGGTTTAGATGTTTTTGCCAACTTCTAACCTGTTCTTCCTGTTTTTAAGGCTTACCAGTGGGTTACATCTTGTGGTAAACTCTCTGTTCTTACTCTGGTGCACACTTCTCTTGATTTTTTGACTTTGTCACAGATACCGCTATCTCATGGAGGTTGCTCTTGATCTGGCCAACTGTTGTTAAGTGTTTTTTCTTCATTAGAGAAAGAATTCATGTCCTCTACCACAGTCGCTTGTAGCCTATTTATATCTTTATGTAGCCTATTAATAGATCTGTGAATGTGTGAAATTACTTTATAG